GCGGGAGGGGGCGGGGGGCAGGAGGGGGGGACACGGGGCCCGGGTGGCTCCCGGAGGCGCCAGCGGCTGCAGCTGCCCCGCGGGGCGGCTGGTCCCAGTGCAGGGCGCCCGGTGCCCCCAGGGCGCATGCGGCCAAGCGCGCCAGGCAGCAGCACCCGCTCGGCCCGCGCCGGGAGGGCAGGGGACGGGGCGGCTGCTGCTCGTGCTGCGGCGCGGGGGATGCGGCTGCTGCGGCGCGGGGGATGCGGCTGCTGCGGCGCGGGGGATGCGGCTGCAGCGGCGCGGGGCCACGGCGATGACAGGGCTCAGACAGGCGCAGGGGCTGGGCGGGCGCCGCCTCCGCCTGCTTCAACGCGACCCATTCCTGCCCGAGGCGGCTCCTCCCGCCTTCGGCAGCCCCGGGGCTGCGGGAGGAAGGCACCTCCTCCTCCTCGCCAGTCCATCACAGCCCAGTGCCCGGCCAGGCCTGGACGCGGCCTCCGCCTCCCGTGCTGGGGCCCGGGAGGCTCTGCCTGCAAGGGAGGCTCCCCTGAGCCCGGCTCACGCGTCCGACAGGCAGCTCTGGATGCGGTCGATCCACTGCTGGGCCAGCTGCACGTCCTGGGCGCAGAAGTTGTAAACTCGTTTCGTCGTCTTCAGCTGCAGGGGAGGAGAGGGGAGGTGAGAGGCGGGCGGGCGGGCACGGGTCGCCCCGCGTGGGCGCCGCACTCACGTCGAAGAAGGCTTTCTCGTCCACGGTCTTGGGGGCGCCCATGGTGGGCGTCCCCGGCGTGATGGACTCCACCTCGGCCAGGTCGATGACGCCCTTGCACTCCGTGTCCATGCGGCTGTCGTAGTACCGCAGCTGCGGGGAGAGGCGCCCGCGCTCAGCGCCGCGCGCGGCCGGACGCCGGGGTGCCCGGCCCCCATCGCGGTACCTGGTGTTTGGTTTTATCCAGCACGAACCAGCGGGGCTTCCAGGGCTTCATGAAGGCTCCTTTCTTGTAGAGCGACCCCTCGTAGGACCTGGGGGCCGGGCAGCGCGTTAGGGCGGCAGCGGGGCCGAGCCAAGGAGGGGAGCCCAGCCCAGGAGGGGCGCCCGCCGCCCGGCCCCGCGTGCCTGTTCTCGCTCTCCGACATCTGGAACTGGCTGTAGAGGGTGCTGGTGCTGCGGCGGCCGCCCTGCTTGCCGCTGGACGGCGTGGACGTGCTGCTCGTGTCGCTGTCCAGGCTGAGGTTGAGCGTGGAGCCCACGCCGCTCTCCTGCAGGTACACGCCGAGCGAGCGCCGGTGGTGGCAGAGGCCGGACGACATCAGCAGGGAGCTCGGCGTCTGCGGGAGCGCAGGGCGCCGCGTCACGCACGGCTGGACATCGCGGCCGCCACCACAGCCACCACCGCGGTCATGACCGCAGCCACCACCACAGCCGCCACCGCAGCCACCACCGCAGCCACCACCGCGGTCACAACCACAGCCACCACCGCAGCCACCACCGCAGCCACCACTGCAGCCACCACTGCAGCCACCACCACGGCCCCCGTGGGCAGAGGCGGCTCCCACCCGTGTTCCCAACCTACCCGGCTGCCCTCCGGCCGGGCCTCCACGCGCTGCGAGGCTTTGACCTTGTCCCACGTGTCCTTCCAGCGCTCCGGCACCTGCCCCAGCTCCATCTCCAGGTTGTGCAGCTCCTGCAGGGCGCAGTTGGGCATCAGGAGCGGGCAAGGACCCTGCTGTCCCCACAGGGACACCCGCCCTGACCAACGGGGCACGGGGCAGTGTCCGGCCCACGGGACCCCTGAGGGGGCCCGGGCCAGGCGCCGCGGCAGGGCCGGCGCCGCAGCACCCACCTCCAGCAGCTTGGAGATGGCGTCGGGCTCCACGCGGCCGCGGTTGTCGTAGCAGGGCCAGATGATGCGGCGCTTGCTCTGCGGGGCGCTCGTGTCCTGCCGGTCGGCCTCCTCCAGCTGCTCGGGCTGCCCCTGCACCAGCTCCCAGTCGTAGGAGGGCCCCTCGGAGAGCGTCTCCTCCGTGTAGTAGTCCCACACCTTCAGGTTGGAGATGTTGCTGTAGGGCCTCAGCACCTAGGGTAGGACACAGGGCGCTCAGAGCCGGCGGCAGCCCCCACGGGGCCATCGCGGCCCGGGGGACGTCCTGGCTGCCTCTGCCCACATCAGAACCGGGACGCCTGGCACAAAGCGGCCCCCCTGGTCGGGAACCGCGGCACTCTGGGCTGGGGGCTGCAGCTGGACCACAGCCGGCACCGCTGGCCTGGGGGTGGCCAAGGAGGGCCTGGCCGAGGCAGCCCCGTGTCACCGTCACCAGCCCCGTGTCACCGTCACCAGCCCCGTGCCACCGTCACCAGCCCGTCTGCCCCCAGGCCACGGCGCCGACTCCTCCCTCAAGGGCAGGTGACTCCCAGCTGTGGTGGGGACCCTCGGCGGGGACGCTGGTGCTGTGACATGGGCAGCCCTGGCTCCAGGGCCGCTCCTGCAGCCTCAGCCACACGCGCCCTAGGTCTCCGCAGGACATCGGGCACCCGGTGCCCACTCCACAGCCACGCAGGGCAGCCCTGCAGGGTGGCTCCGCAACACAGCCGGGCTGCAGCTTGTGCACGGCCCCGGGGCGCCCACCACGGTCGGTGCCAGTGCTGGTGCTGGTGCCAGTGCCGCACTCACCTCCCCGTCCTCGGGGGCGTACATGTAGTTGAAGAAGACCGGGGCTTTCTTGTTCAGCCGGTCGATGTAATCCCAGACGGACTTGTAGACCTGCGGGGTCTTGCGCTCGCCCTTCTCCTCGTACAGGAGGCCTGTGCGGAGCGGAGCGGGGCCGGGGCGTCGCGGCGGGCAAGGCGCTGGGCTGCCGCTCCCCGCACGCCGCGCGCGCCGCCCTTACCCAGCTCAATGCGCTCGTAGTCCGAGTCCAGCAGGAACGTTCGGAACCGGTTTGAGATGTAGTGGTAGCTGAGGAACTTCAGGTAGTACTGGCTGAACTCAAACTCCATGGGGAACTGCAAGTGGATCTGCGAGGGGCGGCGCGGGTGAGGCCGCCTGGTGCCCACGGGCGCGAGGGGGCCCCTGTGCCAAGCGCAGCTCCTGCGCCGTCCTCGCCCCGCGCGCGTGGGGAACCGGGGCGCCGCTGCGGCTCACCTGGTGCACGCAGTCGAGGAACTGCAGGAAGATGGGCGCGAAGCCGCTGCTCTGGCTCGCCAGCGTCTGCGCCCCGCGGTGGCTGAAGCGGTGCCCGAAGGAGAGCCACTCCTTCTCCACCAGCAGGCGGAAGCCCTCCATGGTCCGGTAGTAGGGATCCGAGAGGAGCTGCACCAGGGAGACCACCTGGGGGACGGGGGGCTGCAGGCGGCGCCGGGGCGCGCGGGGGACGCGGCTGCCGCCGCACGGCTCCTACCTGCGTGGTGATGTCCCAGCCGTCCTCCAGGCTCACGAGCACCGAGGAGCCCGTGTCCAGCAGCTCCACCACCAGCACCGCGATCTGCAGGATTTTATGGATCTGCCAACACAAGCGCCAGGAGTCACTAAGGCGCAGGAAGCTTACCCTGGTGCTGGGCGTGGGGTAGCGTGACGCCTTCTCCTGGGCACGAGGTGGCTCCTCTTGTGCCAGCCCTGCTCTCCCAGAGCAGCCGACCATTCCGTAAGGATGACAGGAGAGGGCCCAGACCGCATCCGCAGCCTTGGGTTTGCTCGGAGGGAACCCAGCACCTGCCCTTGAGCACTGGCCCACAGCAACGGCTCCTGCCAGGAGATGCATCAAGGCCCCTGCAGGGTTCAGGCCACCACTGACCTGGGACAACCACTCGGACTCCTCCAGCGACCGCAGATAGGCCACGCTGGGCTCGGTGGCGGGGCAGCCGGGCACGCAGGCCTTCATGAGCTTCTTGAAGCTGGCCTTCACCTGCCGCACGTCGAACACCTCGATGGGCACCAGCTCCCAGTGCTGCAGCGGGTCCGGCTTCACGCCCTGCGGAGCGGGCGCTGAGCGGGGCCCGGGGAGCCGCGCGGGGGCCGGGCCCCCGGCCCCACACGCCTCCCCTGGGGGCTGCAGTGGCCAAGCAGAGCACGTCCCCGCCGCAGGCCGCGCGTTTCACCTTGAGCTGCGACTTGTCGCCGATGATGTAGAGCGAGGCGCGGTGCTGGCGCAGGAAGCTGGCCTCGGCGGGCGCGCCGTTGTGCGGCGCCCCGAGCAGGTCCTTGCCGGCCAGGCGCGAGCCGATCTCCACGTTGAGGGCGTAGCTGCTGAGGCGCCCGCTGCCGCGGATGCTGCCCCACTTGCCTGCGGGACGGGGCGCGTGAGCGGCGCCGCGGCGCCCGGCGGCAGCGCTGCCCGCGCGCGGGCTGGGCGCTGCTGCGAGGCGGGCTTGCTTCCGCTCCGCGCTTTGCAAGGTGCTGCGGCCCTTGCTAGCCGCGTGGGTGCCCGCAGCCCCCCGCCCTGCACTGCGGCCCCCTCCCCAGCACCTGCAGCGGCCGGGAGCCAAGCAAAGCCGCGCGGGCCCCGCGGGCCCCGTACTTACCGGGCGCGCAGGGACATGCCGGTGGCGTTAGCGGGTGGCGGAGGGGGTTACTGGGGCGTTAGTGGGGGCCGGGGCGGTGGGTGCGGGGAGCGCGCGGGCGTTACGCCGGGTACCGTACCTCGCGGCGGCTCGCGGCCCTTCGCCGGCGCGCACTTGGGGGTGGACAGGGTGATGACCCTAGCCCTGTGGGCGAGCCCTGGGGGCACAGGACGAGAGCGGCCTCAGCGGGGGCAGCGCTGCCGCCGCGCACGCACGGGAGGAGCGCAGCGCTGCAGGAGCGCAGCGGGGCAGGACCGCAGCGCTGCAGGACCCCAGCGCTAGTGCAGGACTGCGGTGGTACAGGACTGCAGTGCGGCAGGGCTGCAGCAGTGCAGGACCGCAGTGGGGCAGAACTGCAGCGGTGCAGGGCTGCAGCAGTGCAGGACAGCAGCAGTGCAGGACTGCGGTGGTGCAGAACTGCAGCGGTGCAGGGCTGCAGCAGTGCAGGACCGCAGCGCTGCAGGACCGCAGCAGGGCAGGACCATAGCAGTGCAGAATGGCAGTGGTGCAGGACGATGGTGGTGCAGGACTGCAGCGGTGCAGGACTGCAGCGGTGCAGGACTGCAGCGGTGCAGGACTGCGGTGGTGCAGGACAGGACCACAGCGGTGCGGGACCGCAATGGTGCAGGACTGCAGCGGTGCAGGACTGCGGTGGTGCAGGACAGGACCACAGCGGTGCGGGACCGCAATGGTGCAGGACTGCAGCGGTGCAGGACCGCAGCGGTGCAGGACTGCGGTGGTGCAGCACGGTGCCAATGGTGCCGACGGCAGCTCCGCGGCCGGGGGCCGCTGCCCGGCCCGCCCGCCCGCTGCGGCCCCGCTCGGGGCCGGCGAAGCCAAGGGGAAGCAGCTACTCTAGGAGGGCGCCGTGCGCGGGGCCTGCGAGGCCCGGCAGCGCTCGCCCGCACGTCCTCACCTCCGCGGCTAACAGTACCGGGCCCATCGTCCTTCCCTCCCATCACCTGCTTCATGAGCGATCCCAGCTTAGGCTGCCTCTTGTCGCAGGAATCTGCAGCAGCAACAAAACCGCAGCTTTGGGCCGTGCTCTGCCGCTCCGGGGGGACCTGCCCTCCTTGCAGCTGCCGTGGAGGGGAGGGCAAGGGGCCACGGAAGGAAAGCGAGAGCAGGAGACCCCAGGGCTGGGGTCAGAAGGTCCTCGTGCAAGAAAAGCCCTGCAGGCTGCAGCCTCAGCGCAAAGGCGACGGGTGCAGCAGCGCAAGCGGGCGCTACCCTGCGGCCCCCTGAGCGGGCAGCGCTGCCCCGGCCCTGCCCGGTGCTCCGTGCCGGGAGGAGACACCCCGGAGCCGGGCAGCTCCGCCAGGCTCCGCAGGGCTGCGCGGGGCTCCCGGCGCCCCGTGCGTCCCCTCCTGCCGGGCGGTGCCTCACTAGGAGCTGCAAGCGGGACCTGCCGCTGCACGGAACGGCCTGGAGGGACCTGCAGCAAGGGTCCTGGAGGGACCTGCCGATACCGCGGCAATGACTGGCACTGGTGGTGGATGGCGCGGGAATGAAGGGCCACGGAGCACGGCATGGCAGCACCAAGCACGCTCGGCCCCGGCACGCAGGGCAAGAGAGGCGAGCGACTTACCTCGGCTGCCCGCCACGGAGGGCACCCCGCGCGGGGCCAGCGGTGCCGAGGCGTCCGCTCCTGGCTCTGTCCCCCCAGCCAGGCCCACCCGGCTCCCGAGGCTGGCCCTGAGCGCGGTCAGGAGCTGCAGCGCTCACGGGCACTGCCCAGCGCCGCCGCCTTGCCCAAGCCCTGTCCCCACCGGTGCTGCAGGGGCCGGCTGCGAGCCGGGAGCCCAGGGCCTCTCGGGGAGGCTCCGCTCCCTTTGCTGCAGCATGGGTGCTGCAGGGCCGGGCAGCACGTGCGGGAGCGCAGCTGGGGCACCAGCCCTCCTGCCCCTGCGCTGCTGCCCACGTCGGGGCCGCCCTCACCTGAGCTGCTCATGTGCGCGGAGGTGAAGCCGCTGAGCGTGTTGCGCCCGCCGGCATCGGCGTAGTGCGGCATGGAGTTGATGACGGCCTGCAGGTACTTCTCCTGCTCCAGGCTGGTGGAGTCGGTCTGCGAGGGCCCTGCAGGGAGAGCAGCGGGCGTCACGGCTCTGCCGCGGGCGCCACAGCTCCGCCACGGGCATCACGGCTCCGCCGCGGGCATCACGGCTCCGCCACGGGCATCACGGCTCCGCCGCGGGCGCCACGGCTCCGCCACGGGCATCACGGCTCCGCCGCGGGCATCACGGCTCTGCCACAGGCATCACGGCTCCGCCACGGGCATCACGGCTCCGCCGCGGGCGTCACGGCTCCGCCGCGGGTGCCACGGCTCCGCCACGGGCATCACGGCTCCGCCGCGGGCATCACGGCTCCGCCGCGGGCATCACGGCTCTGCCACGGGCGTCACGGCTCTGCCGCGGGCACCACGGCTCCGCCACGGGCATCACGGCTCCGCCACGGGCATCACGGCTCCGCCGCGGGCGTCACGGCTCCGCCGCGGGCACCACGGCTCCGCCATGGGCATCATGGCTCTGCCGCGGGCGTCACGGCTCCGCCGCGGGTGCCACGGCTCTGCCACGGGCGTCACGGCTCCGCTGCGGGCATCACAGCTCCGCCACAGGCACCACGGCTCCGCCGCGGGCGTCACGGCTCCGCCGCGGGCACCAGGCCTGCGGATGGGCGCGCACGGCGGGCGAGGGGCAGGCACCTGCGCTGGGCGCGTTCTGGGACTTGAAGAGGCCCACGACGCCCTTGCCGTGCAGCCCCCCTGAGCGCAGCAGCACGGCCTTGGTGCGCGCGTTGCGCCAGCACACCACGGGGAAGCGGTTCTGCCGGTAGCAGCGGGAGATGCGCTGGATCGTGTTGTCCTGGATGCTCTGCGGCACGATGAGCAGCCCGGGATAGCTGCAGGAGAGACCGAGACTCTGCAGGGAGCGCGAGGGCGCCGCGAGCTCTGCGGCACCGCAAGCGATCCTCCCCGGGATCAGACCTGGCCTCTCCCTCGTGCCAGCCCGGCGGCGGCGCTGCCCGCTCGCACTCACCTGCGGCAAATGGCATACATGCGGTTCACGGTGGAGATGCGGAAGGGCTCCGTCTTGGAGCGCGTGAGGCTGCTGCTGAGCGTGCCCAGTCCCATGCGCTGGTAGTCCCGGCAGCAGGCGCGCTCCACCAGGTGATTCATGGTCATCTTGTCCGACGGCTTCATGGTGGTGCTGGGCGTCAAAGTGCTTCTGTCCATTTCTTCAGACACTGCAAAGCCAGAGGCCACGCGGCTCAGTCCCCAGAACCACGGAGTGGCTGAGGCTGGAAGGCACCTCTAGAGATCATCTAGTCCAACCCCCTGCTCCAGCAGGCACACCCAGAGCACGGGGCACAGGGTGGCATCCAGGTGGGTTTGGAGACCGCCAGAGAAGGAGACTCCCCAGCCTCCCTGGGCAGCCTGGGCCAGGGCTCTGGCACCCAGGGCTCATGTTCCCACCACGGACAGTGTCCCACTTGCAGCAGGAGAAGACCAGGGCTGAGGTCCCAACCTTGCAGGGTCCGGCAGGACAAGGGCTTCCTCCCACCAGGCTCCCCGGAAAGGGGAGTTCAGCTCCTGCACCCAAAGGGTCAGACACCAGACTTGGTGCAAGAACCTACTAGCAAGGCCAGAGAGACCCAGAGAAGTCAGCCCTGTGGCAGTGAAGTTAGATGCTGGAGCAGATTCCTTTGGTGCTGTCACACTGCCTGACAGCAGTAAGAGAGGAGGAACAAAACCGATCTGTCCAGAGCCGGCTCTGTGACAATGAGCTCATCTGCTCCTTCAGTGCAGAGACAGGACTGCAGCTCAACCAGGCCTTCAGCCCAGGAGATTTCCCTCAAATCATCATATTTCCATCCAATTCCATAGCAAAATTGCTATAGGGAAATATGCAGTCATTAACAACCACTTTTCTAAGTGCTCTGCTGCCCGAACTTGAGGACAACAGAAGAATCTCAATGGTGTTGGGGAAATCTCCTGCTCTGGTTCTGAACACAGTCAGTGTTTTTGTTAACATAAATGATGGTCCTGTGGATGCTTACAATATCTGCAGAGGACAACGACAAGTCAGGGAAACGGAGCAGAATTCAAAGGGTCTCAATGAAGAGAAGGAAAGATTTGAAATCAGGCGCTTTCTGGGTGACAGACCGGCCCCGCACGGGGCTGCAAGAGCAGCCCTGCTCCCCGCTGACACCCTACAACAAATCGACCCACTGAGGCGGCACTGAGGGTATGTGTCCCTTGCAGGTCTTTGCTCCTCTTAAATCACCTAAAGTGCCCGTCAAGTGCAGGCCTGCACAGCGGCAGCCGAGGAGATGCCTGGCTCTCCTCCGGCACCCGGATGCTCCCGCTCCAGGGGACAACCCGCTCTGCAGGGCCTCTGTTCCCTGTCCCGGGCGCTCCCAACCTGAGATCTCGTCCTCGTTGTCCTCGGAGAACTGCTGGCTGCTGCGCTGCTCCCAGGCGGGGGGGGTGTATTTCTTGCGCGTCACGTACTGGCGCCCGATGGTTTTCTTGGCGTTTTTCACCAGGTTTTTGGAGAGAGTCCTGGAAGGAGAGGAGGATGCTGCAGCCCGCTGGCAGCACTGCGGCGCGTGCACGGCCGCAAGAGCGGGCTAGAGAACCCGGCACGCGCGGTTACACCGGGAGCGAAGCGGAGCCCGGGGCGCCCCACCTTACAGCAGCACCCTACGCGGTGGCACCCGTGCAGCCGGGAGCAGCAGCGCCCTGCGGCAAGGGCTTCGCTGCGCCAGCTCCCCGGCTGCAGCCCTGCCCGAGGGCTGCACAGGAGCCCTGCGGCTGCCGCCGTGCAGCAGCAGCCAGGACAGGGCCCGGGGAGCCCACGCTGCCCTAAGCAGGGCCCCAGTGCAGGGACACGATGGGGAGCCTGTGCGGGACAGACAAGGATCCTTGCCCCAGGCTCTCCCAAATCCCGTTGCCTCCCTATGGGAGCGCTCACACGCTGTCCCGGGGGACGGAGCGCTCCGTGCCGTCACACCGGGGAGGAGCAGAGGCAGGAGATCCGCACGGGCCGACCCTGAGCTGCTTCTCGCCGCCCAGCCAGGCGCAGCCGTGTCGCTGGCTCCTCTGGAGCAGCCTCCCTGCCCGCCGAGGGCAGCCCAGGGAAAGCGGGAAGGGGAATCCTTCCAAACCCTGGGCACAGTTAGGCTGAGCGGTCACAACACGCTCCTTATGCCTGAGCTCTACAAAGCCTCCGCCTGAGGACCAGAACTGTGCACAGGGGCAGGATCAGAGACCTGCTGTCTAGGGCGCCCCGGAGCTCAAAAAATAACAACTAAAAGAAACACGGAAAACGTGTCACTCACAAAATGGGTCACATTCAACCCGGAATAACACCACCTGAGATTTCTACATCACCTGATTGGGGCTGGGGCCAGGACAGCACCAGCAGGTCATTTGCTTTGCTTGGCAAAGCAGACCACGAGGGGACCCAACTGCTCCCTAAATCTATCAAGGAATGCAGAGACTCGGGACTGGGGGATAATGCTGTCCTGAGAGCAAACAGCCACAGAAGGAGGACCCGAGTGTTTTCTAACCAGAGCAGGGAGATTTGCAGACGCCGTGGAACAGAATTGTGGGCTGGTGGTAACGCAGACCTCACAAACTCACAGATAGAGACTTCTGAGCCTGTGCCCAGCCCCGAGAGAGGTGAGTGGGACCCAAGAGAGGTGAGTGAGACCCAAGAGAGGTGAGTGGGACCCAAGAGAGGTGAGTGGGAACAAGGAGAGCTCCACCAGGATGCAGCACGCTGCCCCGGAGCCGCAGGAGGCACCGCCTGCATGCCGAGACCTCAGCTCCAGAGCATGCCCTGGGAAAGGACGTTCCCGAGCGGCCGGCCCGCAGCCCAGGCAGCATGCAGAGCGGGAGAGAAGGATTCCCGGGAGCAGGGAAGGCCACAGGCTGAGCCGACGCCACCTTGCAAGCTCCCGCCCAGGGCGAAGGCGTCTTACGTGGTTGAATGGCCAAGGTGCCCAAGGGATATGACCCCCACCGCCAGGCCCTGGAGCATATCGGTCACCTGCTGGGAGCTGGGTCACAAACACACGGAGAGAGGCTTAGAGGCACAGCGCGCCAAGCACAGCCGCGGCAGCTCCAGCATCTGCTAGCCGAGCGGCGAGCGCAGCAGCAAGGTCTGGCCGCAGGGCAGCCCTGTGCACAGAGCTCTCGCTGCCCCGGCCTCCACCGTGGCAGAGGGACACTCTGGAGCTCCTCCCTAGGGAGATGCTTCCTCGGGCTTTGCAATTCCCCACCTTGGGGCAGGGAACACCTCTGCAAGCAAGGAGCGCTCCCCAGGCTTGGCCAGAGCTCTGCTTCGGCCTGGGAGGCTGCTGCACGGCGTGCAGCACGGTCCCCTCCTCGTACCAGGCGTTTGAATGCCCCAAGACGAGGAGCAGAGCCCCTGTGCACGGAGCAGGCTGAGCAAGGCTGAGCTCACCAGGGCTCCGCTCACCTCTGGGGTCCTCACGGGGACAGGAAGGACCCTGCAGTCCCTAAAAGGGTCCCCAGTGCTGCTGTCCCCGCTGGCGGTCACGCCAGGCACAGGTACCTGAGTGAGGGATTCTTCTCCTTGGCCTTGGGCTGCATGGCTTGCTTGGGCGACTGGCCCACCGTGAAGGCAAAGGTGCCCCGCACGTGCTGGGGGTAGCGCAGCTTGTGCAGGTGCTTCCTGAAGACCTCAGCACTCTCCGAAGCCACCTCTTCGTCGAAGGCAATCTTCAGCAACTGCGGGGACGGCAGAGAGCAGGCTCCAGCGCTGCTGCGGGGCGCTCAGCACCTTCCACGAGCTCTTCCCACAGAGCAGGGCAGAGCTCAGCGCCCGGACTAGAGCAGGGGCTGCAAGAGGGCAGGCTGGGCGGGCACGGCCTCCGCTAGCAGCCACCCTGCCCCATGCACCCGGGCGCTCTGCGGCTCCCGGGATGCTCCCAGTGCCCAGGGCTCAAGGGACACACGCTGCACAGGTGCCTTCCTCCCAGCAGCACCGCCACGAGCTCTCCAAGATGGAAAATGCTTCAGAAGCGCCCACAGTTTTACCTCTCGCCCCCGCTGTATTTCTCTAAGACCTGCTAGTGTTTTGCAGAACCACCTCCTCTGGCCACGTGTGGGGAGGTCACGCACGTTCTCAGGACAGGCAGCCCCAGCTAACGGGAGGTCGCTCCTGCACAGAGCAGGTTGGGACTCCCGTGTTGGGAGCACAGCCTCCCCCTGCAAGGGCACCTCAACTCCCCCACCTCAGCACCGACACCTGCCCCAGAGGCCACGTCTGCCCCCTCAGGTCAAAAGCGGCTCCGTGACCGCGGCTAGTGAGTGGTCTGTCCCAGGCCACGGTGCCCACACTGGCTGCAACGCCACCAGGTGCCATCACGGACGCGTTCCTCGATCAAGTGAGCACAGCTCCGAAGATGGAGCCTCCCGCTGTCTCACCTGGAATGTGCACGAGCGCAGCTGCAAACCCTCCTGGATGAACTGATCCACCTGGGCCTGGATATTGATCTTCTTCTCTTTGGTCAGCGAGGCGATGGGGAAGGACCGGATCACCACCTGCTCCCCCACTGGGCCCAGAACAGGAAAAGGTCAGTGACAGCCTGCTGTCCTTGCCAGCACCATCCCGGCTGCACCGACCACCATGAGCACCACGAGAAGACTAGAAGCAGCTACAGAGACCAGGGCTACCAGAGCCGAGCCATGGAGATGCAGGAGGTGCTGCCTACGTTGACCGTGCGAGTGCTGATCATCTACCAACGTGATACTGGTGACCGAGACCCAAGCCTCCTTGTACTGGGAGCAAAGCAGCAGCTTTGGGCCCTGCCAGGCCCAGCACTGGTTGCTCACTCGCCCAACACAAACTGCTGGAGGCCCTTGGGGCAAGGGCAGCAAGAGGAGGGGCAGCCACCGCTGCAGCTCCCTTGGCCACGTCTACCCCGGGCACTGCCAACCGAGGAGCTCAGAGGAGGCGGCGCGCAGGAGATCCTTACCCAGGGGGTCCGTGGGGGTGCCTTTGAAGATGATGCGGTAAGTGGTGAGGAAGATGGCTCCTTCCGCAGGCAGAAGAGGCGGCCCGCCAATACTGCCCCCAGCAGCCTCCTCCCGGCCGTCGGGCATGAGGTACACACGGAGGCCCTCCATGACACACTCTTCGCCCACGAGCAGGTTGGGGCGCAGCAGCTTTGGCTGCAGGGGTTTCCGGGGGGGTTTTAGGCACACGGGGGGGTGTGGAAGGAATGGCAACACCCCCCAGGTGCACGAGCACCTCCCCGCCTGCAGCAGGCCCGCTCCGTACCTTCTGGATGGGAGGAAGCCTCTTGCTCTCACGGTGCACAGCGTCCAGCGTCTCTATGTGCATCTGCACGATGTCTGGGGACAAGCACGCAGTTGGAGGGCACAAGCCAAGCCCTGTCTTACACAGCACCCAAGCAGGTGGAGCCCCCCTTGTCGCGCTGTTTGTGCCTCCCTGGCCTTCCCATCCGCTGCTTCCCGAATTTTCTCTGGAGTGACCCCTGAGCTGAGGTGGGAGGATCCTCAGCGAGGTCCCACGGACTCCCCTGCACCGTGGCAAAGCGCATTACCAGGGATCATGACGTGCAGTCCCTTGAGGTGCTCGTTGGTGACTCCGCTCTCGGTGCACACTTTGTCCACGAAGCGGTTGATGAATCGCACCACGTAGTTGGCCACGTCCGAGCTCTCGGCGTCCTCAAACCCGCTTTCTGTGTCGTAGCTCTCGGCCACGCTGCCAGCAATGCTGCCACGCAGGAGTGGAGAAGTCAACCCAGAGCATCTCTGTCCACCACCATGGCCCACCGCGGGATGCCCCACACCACGCAGAGCCCAAAAGAGCTTCCAGCTCCTGACCTAGGCACCCGTGGGCACTGCCAACTGTCCTGATGCTGACGTGCAGCTCAACGATCCAGGTACCCCGGGTACTGCACCAAGGAGCTCTCACGCCAACCCCAAGGCTGCCCCGCGTCCCCTGGCAGCGCAGCCCGTGCCCAAGGTGCCCAGCCCTGCCTACCTGTTGGTGACAAAGCTGTTGCTGACGCTCTCCACATCGCCCAGCCCAGAGCTGCGGAGCAGGCGGTTCTTGCTCGTGTCAAGAGGCAGGAGCAGGTAGCTCATGCGGTTGGCGTAGTGGATGGCCTGGCTGAACACCGTGCTCTCCTCCTTCTGGATCAGCTCCTGCTGTTTCTCTCGGCTCATGGTGGGCCACAGCCTCAGCTGTTCTGATGCTATCTCCAGGGCTGACTTCTCTTCCTGCGGTCCCTCCTTGCTCTCCTGATGGAGTTGGAAGGACATGAACGTATGAACAGGAGCCCTGCCAGCCTTCACCCCACTGTGCCTCCAGGAATGTCCCCAGGACAACACAAAATGCCTCAGCCTGGTCCCAGCAGCCTCATCAGCCCATGGAACAAGGAGCGAGCCGCTCCTGTGCAGCCGCTTCCCACGGCCACGGGCGCTGCTGCCGTTTCCTCACCTCATCTGCGTGGTTCTCCTCACTGCTGTCCAGGTACAGGGCTCGGATGTGGTTCTGCACATCGCAGTAGAACATGGCCTCCCAGAACTGGATGTTGGTCCATACCACGTGCTCCTGCACACAGCTGTAGGCAAACTGCGTGATGCCAGGGCTCAGTTTCTGAGGAAAGAGAAGTGCAAGAGATGCTCGACCAAACCACCTTTGTGGCATCCTGGCCTCGCCAGGTCACCCTTGCTCTAGCTTGTCTCTGGGAAAGGCAACATGCCCTTGGGCAGGGAGGAGAGATGCTTGTCCAGTGTCTAAGCACTTCACAGAATCCCAGAATATTCAAGGTTGGAAGGGACCTCTACAGATCATCTAGTCCAACCTTCCTGCTCACACAGGCACACCCAGAGCACGGGGCACAGGGTGGCGTCCAGGTGGGTTTGGAGACCTCCAGAGAAGGAGACTCCACAACCTCCCTGGGCAGCCTGGGCCAGGGCTCTGGCACCCTCACAGTGAAGAAGTTCATCCTGAGATGGAACCTCCTGTGTTTCAGCTTATGGCCATTACCCCTCGTCCTATCGCTATCCACCAATGAAAACAGCCTGTCCCCTTCCTCCCTACATTCTCCCTTCCTGAACTTATACACATTAATCAGATCCCCTCTGAGCCTTCTCTTCTCCAGAGAAAACAGGCCCAGCTCACTCAGCCTCTCTTCATACGAGAGATGTTCCATTCCCTTAATCATCCTGGTTGCCCTTCTCTGGACCCTCTCCAGAAGCTCCACGTCCCTCCTATACTGGGGTGCCCAGAACTGCCCCCAGTGCTCCAGGTGCGGCCTCCCCAGAGCTGAGTAGAGGGGCAGAATCTCCTCCCTTGACCTGCTGGCAACGCTCCTCCTGATGCAGCCAGGATCCCATTGGCCTTCTTGGCCACGAGGGCACACTGCTCACTCCTGGTTAACTTGGTGTCAACCAGGACTCCCAGGTCCCTCTCCGTGGAGCTGCTCTCCAGCAGGTCAACCCCTAGTTTGTACTGGTGCCTGGGGTTATTCCTCCCCAGGTGCAGGACCCTGCACTTGCCCAGCACCCAGAGACCAACAGCGCCTCTTCCTACAGATGCCTTTTGGGAGGCCAAATCTTACATTAACCAAGGCTGGCACTTCAGAGCACCCCCTCTTTCTGAAGACCCTTCCTCTATATGTGTCCCAGCCATCCTGGAGAACCTTTGGCCCAAGGGTGGGCACATTCAGCCTAGCCAAGCTTTGAGTGGCTAGAAGCCACTGCAGAAGACCTTGTCCTCGGCCAGCCACCGAAGGGACAATCTGCCCTGGGGCTGGCTCCAGTTCTTCAAACCTGCCAGGCTCTGTGGCCTCCAAGGAATTCTGAGTGCAGGTGGCCACACAGCTGAGCTTCTCTGCCTGCAAAGAACTGAGCGCTCTTTCAGCTTCACAGAATCGCAGGAAGGGCCTCCCTGAAGAGGCCCTTCACAGGAGAGCTGCTTGCAGCCTCTTCTCCAGCCAGATCCGAACAACGCGCATGGGCTCCCCAAGGGACCAGGATGTTGTGGATACTCACTCGGCAGAAGGCGGTGACCAGTGGCAGGAGAGCGGCTGCAATCCCGTGTTCGTCCATGGCAGTGCAGTCCTGGGGATCAAGGCAGAGGTTCCAAGGGGATTTCTCACCAGAGCCCGAGCCCCACTCCCTTCCCTGGCCATGCAGTCCCCCAGTACGACCCTCATGGGAGCAGAGCTTTGCCTCTCCTCCACACAGGCTCCCCAAGCCCCCCAAACCATGGAAGTGGTGGTGTGGAAGCTGCTACCGGTTCACAGCGAGGTCCCCAGCGATCTCCACTTACGCTCCCCTCCCCAGGCACCTCTCATGTCCATAACCCCCCTGTCTCCAAGGAGAAACGTTCTCCCCACATCGGCCCTCTCCTACCTGCAAGCAGCAGTTCATCATGCGGATCACGAAATCGAACTGCTGGTGGTCGAGCACGGCGCGGTTCTGCTGCACGTGCAGGTTCAGCTCCTGCGTCAGGCAGTGCCTGGCTGCTCGGCCCTTCATGGCTCGCAGCACAGCAGGGAAGAGCTGCAGGGAAGACGGAAGGGAGCAGTGGAGCAGGGAGAGCGCAGGGCAGCGCAGCAAGGTGCAGGGCGGGAGGCGGCTCGCGTGCCGGCTGACATGAGGCTGTCTGCACGGAGCTCATCCAAGCGGGACACAGACGCAGGACAGAACAAGCTCCCACCACCCGGCCAGTCGAGCAGAGCCACTGGCAGCTCCCTGTTCAGCGAGGCTGGGGACGGCCCCATCCTGCTTATGCCTCAGCACAGTCCCTATGGGCACAGGGGACGTAGAGCAAGCACAGAATCGCAGAATGTTCAAGGTTGGAAGGGACCTCTAGAGATCATCTAGTCCAACCTTCCTGCTCCAGCAGGCACACCCAGAGCGTGTGGCACAGGGCGGCATCCAGACGGGTTTTGCCAGAGAAGGAGACTCCACAACCTCCCTGGGCAGCCTGGTCCACTGCTAATAGCACTGAACGGGATCAACAGAGTGATCAGCCCAAGGCCAGGAACACAACAAGGAGCAGCGGTAATGAGTGGAGAACTTGCAAGGAGAGTGCTGGTCAGCGGAGCCCTGGGCACGGGTGGGAAGTGTCCTCTCTAGGCCACCATGGAATCACAGAATCACAGAATCATGGAATCCTTAAGGTTGGAAGGGACCTCCAGAGGTCATCTAGTCCAACCTCCCTGCACACGCAGGGTCACCTAGAGCACATGGCACAGGACTGTGGGTTGGACTAGATTAGGGTTTGAATAAATGACCTCTGAGGTCCCTTCCAACCTTAAACATTCTATGATTCTATGATTGCCTCCAAGTGGGTTGGAGGACAGGCAGAGCCAGCCCCTTGTCCCCATGATCACCAGCTCCTCAAGACACGTCCCTCACCTTTTTGGCTTCCAACATCTTGTTCTCAAAGACATAGGAGATGCAGTTCCTGACAACCTCCAGGCGGCGGGCGCTGTTGGCCAGGGCATTGCCATTTCGCTCCAGGATGGCAGCTGGGGAGAGAATCCCTGTTACTTCCCCCAGGGGAGGGAATTCACACCCAGTGGGGCAGGACGGGCACCCCCTCCCCTGCTCGGCACGCCAGGGCTGCAGACACCTGTGCTGGAAGATGAGGACGGAGCATTCCGATCACAGAATCCCAGAATATTCAAGGTTGGAAGGGACCTCTACAGATCATCTAGTCCAACCTTCCTGCTCCAGCAGGCACACCCAGAGCACGGGGCACAGGGTGGCATCCAGGTGGGTTTTGAAGACCTCCAGAGAAGGAGACTCCACAACCTCCCTGGGCAGCCTGGGCCAGGGCTCTGGCACCCTCACAGTGAAGAAGTTCCTCCTCACCCGCAGACGGAACCTCCTGTGTTTCAGCTTGTGGCCATTTCCCCTTGTCCTATCACTGGCCACCACTGAGAAGAGCTTGGCCCCTTCCTCCCTGCATTCTCCCTTCCTGAACTTATACACATTAATCAGATCCCCTCTCAGCGTCCTCTTCTCCAGAGAAAACAGGCCCAGCTCACTCAGCCTCTCCTCATATGGGAGATGTTCCATTCCCTTAATCATCCTGGTTGCCCTTCTCTGGACCCTCTCGAGAAGCTCCACGTCCCTCTTGTCCTGGGGAGCCCAGAACTGCCCCCAGTGCTCCAGGTGCGGCCTCACCAGAGCTGAGCAGAGGGGCAGAATCACCTCCCTTGACCTGCTGCCAACGTCCTCCTGATGCAGGCCAGGATGTCCCCTTTCACCAGCCCGTGTAGCCCAGCGCGCTCTGAACAGCCCGAATGGCAGAAGCTGAAGAGCAAGGTGCTGCTGCCTCTCAAAACTGGCACCACCACCTGCATCTAGCCCTCAGACGTGCCAGAGCATAGAAGGGAGCCAGCACCCCCAGAGCTCTCAGCGTTAGACAGAATCACAGAATGGTTGCGGTTGGAAGGGACCTCTAGAGATCATCTAGTCCAACCTTCCTGCTCAAGCAGGACACCCAGAGCATGTGGCACAGGGTGGCATCGTGGAGCCAGTAACATGGAGCTCCTGCTGAGCTGGACTCCCATCCCAGCGCCAGGCAAGGCTCTGTGTGCACATACCTATGGGGGGGCCCGATGGCACCATGCACTTCTTCTCTGCCTTCACCGCAGGAGGGGCTGTCTGCAGCTTGGCAGTGGCTTGGTCTATGATCCACTGGACTGTCCCCTCGTCCAAACGGGGAAAAGGTTTCTGGTGGAGACGCAGGTGACAGCCTTCCGTGGGCTTCTGCACCTTGTGCATGGTCACGGCGGGGTACGGGTTCTCCTGGCACAGCAAAGGCAATTGCAAGTCCCGTGTCATCTCCTGGGGCCTCCTTCAGCAGCATCTCCCCAGCAGGTCTGCTACCAGCCCCCCACAGCATGTGCTCCCCAAAGCAGCCTGCGTGGCCAGCAGCCCATCCTGCTTTGCTCTCTGCAGCGGTGAGAACGGCACAGCTCAACCCAGCAATGAGCAAAACGTCAAGTGCCCAACAGGCCACAGAAAGTTTGGTGCTCCTCCTTCCAAAGACCTTAGCTGGTCATCCTCTGTACAACACAGTGGCTGACCAGGGGCTCCGGAACAAAGGAAAGGGATTGTGTGATGCTCAGACCACCTGAACTCCAGGAATCCTTCTCCTGGGATACAGGGGAGATGCCCACACCAGGCAGGCACCTTTAGGTCCAGCAGCAGTTACCTGCCACAGGTGACTGTGCAAGGTGGGACAGGCTGAAGCACCACGAGTGCTCATTCCAGCAACTGCTCACCGTGGCAGAAGGAAGGCAGGACAGACAGACAGAGCTGGGCCCTGGTCCCACAGTGCTCCCTGCCCACATCTCCATCGGACCAGGACCCCCACCTGTGCTCTGGCGTTCAGGACTCACATTTTTGTAAAGCTTCTCTGCCAGCTCCTTGATGTGCCGCAGGATTTTCTGCTTGTTGCCCTCTTCTGCACGCATCCGCTTCACTTCGTAAGCAACGAGCTGAGAGAGGAAGGGGCAAGTGAGAGGGGCGGCTCTCCGGGCATCATCTGGCCAGGGTGCCCGCAGTCTGAGCCCAAAGCAAAGCCAGCCTTGGGTCTGAGCCCAATGCAAAGCCAGACCCGGGTCTGAGCCCAAAGCACAGCCTGCCCTGGGTCTGAGCCCAATGCAAAGCCAGCCCCGGGTCTGAGCCCAAAGCACAGCCTGCCCTGGGTCTGAGCCCAAAGCACAGCCAGCCCCGGGTCTGAGCCCAAAGCAAAGCCAGCCTTGGGTCTGAGCCCAATGCAAAGCCAGCCCCGGGTCTGAGCCCAAAGCACAGCCAGCCCTGGCGCCCGGTGCCCCCAGCCCGGGTGCAGCCCTGCAGGGTTGTTCCCGGTCCCAGTGCCTCGGAGGGGGACGCGGGCAGGGACACGTCCCGCGGCGCTGCCAGCCTCCTGGCCTCCTACCTCGTCGAAGAGGTCGATGGAGCGATACGGGGCTCCCCGCTCGGTCACGAAGCCAGCGAACGCCATGCCTTCCAGCACCTTGGTGAGGAAGTCGTCCTCCGTGAGCCCCCTCTGCCCGAGGAAGGCAGCCTGCAAGGAAGAGCGGGCGCTGTGGGCAGGACGGCCGTGCAAGGTGCAAGGCGATGCGCCAAGGCGGCTCCCGGGCGGCCCCTCGAGCCCCTCTGTGCCGATGCTCCTGCCCGCGGCGCCCCACGCTCCAGCACGGCGGGTTCTGCAGCACCAGCACCGCGTGCTGCCCGTGGCCTCGCGGGAGGCCCATCCTCAGCCCTGGCTCCAAGGAGCCTCTCCCCACCAGCCACGACGGCAGCCCAAGGCCACGGGTTTCCTGCAGGCACGGCCAGGGTTTGGGCCTCCTCCTCCTCAGTGCACTGAGGACTCGTCCCGTGGGTGCTGCCCCGCGGCAGCCGGGGATCACCAGGAGGCTCCTGGAAACGCCGCCGGGGAGGCTACGGCAGGGCGCTCGCCCGCGGAGCCCCACGTGGCACCGGGGCCTCTGGGTGCTTGGCACCTGCGCCCTGCGCCCTCCTCCTTCCTCACGGATGGGGCTGGACCTCCTTCCAGGGGCTGGACCTCCTTCCAGGGGCTGGACCTTCCCTATAGCAGAGGGGGAAGCCAAGAGACGGAGGGCTCGGTGCTGCAGGAAAACCAGGACTGCTGAGTCCCGAGGCCTGAACGTGCCATGAGGAGCAACAAGAGGAGCCCGTGTGCTCCCCTGGGGCACCAGGGAAGGCTGCATTCCGGGTGGGCACAGCCCATGGGGCTCAGCTACGGACCAGCCGCCAGGCTCACCCTCCAGGCTGGCACAGCCCTTAGTGATGCACAGCCAAGGGAGCCTGGGGAAAGAGCTGTGCCCAAAGCACCCGCACCACGTCAGCCGGGCTCTGCTTCCTGCAGGCTGCCTACACGTCCCTAGCTCCTCACAGCCTCCCAGGCGCTTGTGCGCGATGACAGCACCCGTGCATGTAAAGGCTGTGGGAGCAGGAGCAGCCCTGCGCTCCGCACGCAGCCGTCGGTGGCTCTGCATGGCAGCGAGGCTGCAGCAAGGCAGGAATGCAGCAGGGCAGGGATGCAGCAGGGCAGGAATGCAGCAGGGATGCAGCAGGAATGCAGCAGGGCAGGAATGCAGCAGGGCAGGAATGCAGCAGGAATGCAGCAGGGCAGGGATGCAGCAGGAATGCAGCAGGGCAGGGATGCAGCAGGAATGCAGCAGGAATGCAGCAGGGCAGGAATGCAGCAGGGCAGGAATGCAGCAGGGATGCAGCAGGAATGCAGCAGGGCAGGGATGCAGCAGGGCAGGAATGTAGCAGGGCTGCAGCAGGAATGCAGCAGGGCAGGGATGCAGC